TGCATCCGAGTGTTTCTGATGACTACGAGTGAGAAGAATGCTTGTGGGGGAGAGAATGATTTTTGGGAGAGAATGTCTGTGAGAGAGTTACGGGAAGAGTCGTGTGTTGGCCTACGTGGCATTGAGTTGTACTTTTTACGTGTTATCCGTGCTGTTTCCATATTTTATTAAGTACATATATTTATTCCTAGTTCTCGATTACTCAAGATCCACTCTTTCATTATCTATAATTTAGTATCTAAGCTATTAACCCTTTGAACTCTGTAGGCTCCAACATTGCAGCAGTTCTAATATTAAATATTTTAATGAATTTTAAGAAAACTACCTTAGGATTATTAGATCTTCCAAATATACAAGGTTTGCACTGAGAAGGGAATTAACCCTTTGCCCGCGAGAGGTGACTCTCACCACCGGATTTCATACAGTGAAACTATGAAATTTGATATTTAATATTATACTTTGTATAATGCATGAATTTGAGAAATATTGAAATAAAATAGCTTTGTTGTTCAATGTATGATTTCTCTTCGAGTTTAACAAAATATTGTCTTCACCTTATCAGAAGATGTTGAAATATTTCTAGTGAAAAACCTCCGAGTGCAAAGGGTTAAATACATATACTTATTCCTAGTTCTCGATTACTCAAGATCCACCTTTTCATTATCTGTAATATAGTACCACTATAATTGTTACTCCATTTTCTGGAAAACACGTTGCGAAACTAGTATCTACTACAACCTTGGACAGTGTTCAGCCTGAACCATTCGCTATAATCTATACATAAAATAAAAACTGTAATCTTTGTCCAATGGCAAACCAGTGAAGCGGAACTGTTTCACTGGTGTTACATAAAAAAACACATTCCCCTAAATGAAACGGTGAATGAAAAATCTATCGAAAAGTGGTACGTAGTGTTCTGCCTTGGAAAAATTTGTTTCGCGTGCAATTTCGCATACAAGCGAATAACAATGTACCTTTCTCCCCTTGATCTCTATACAATTGCCCCGTGCGCGCGCGTGCGCCGAAACGATAAGGATTCCGCTATATTAAAAGCAATTTTACATGCGACCCTTGAAAAGCGTCCAATAGAGCCCTGATCCTTTACGAGGGATAGAGGGCCAAGCACCGCATAAACTTTTTAATCATATTTTTATGAATCTAATTTTTCTTTAGCACATCGTTTTCGCCGGTTGTACTTGACCTTTATAGTATTCCAAAATATACAGCCGGTTTATGTCCGTTCCACCGTTGTGCGCGCGTGCGCGCGAAGTTTTACTCGAGACTCAAAAGGTACGTCATTTCAGCACGTTTGTCCTCGCATAGAAACACCCTTTTACGATTCCACGGAACCCCGGTGAATCATCCCCCGGGAATTCAGGTTTTATAGACCTTTCGCTACACAGGCGCGGAGCCGCTTGGACCAGAAAATTACGCGCCACTGTGTATTTCCACATTCAAACGGAATCTTTACCAGAAACGATTTCGCCCGTCGAGGATGGCCGTATAACGAGCGGTTCGCTGACCATTAATACTTTGATACGGCTTCATTTATAACTTTACGCGCGGCAACTGTTCCGCCGAGGCTACGGCGCACACCTCGGGAACCCGATAAATTGTTCGCAACATTCGTGTATCGTTATTACGTAATTGGCCCGGCTCACGCGCGCGTCGCACGGAACTCCGTAATTACGGGGAAACTGTGGAACAAACATTTTCGGGATTGATCTCTTTCGTTTCGCGGTCGGACGATCTCCGAGGCGGATGAAAAATGTAGCCATCGCGAGGACCTTCGGGAAATTATTCAACAATGGAGGAGGCTTCGTCCCGAACGCGGGATGAAATCGGAACCCGAAGAACAACGGAAATTATTGAAAAATGATAGTCGCGATGTTCATATCTGAGCACAGTTGGAAAAGTCAGATCGATAGGGTGCGCGGATTCGCTGTGAATGTCCGTTGAAGTTCTCCGACGCTTAAAATATTTAATATTAGAACTGCTGCGATATTGGAGCCTACAGAGTTCGAAGTCTTAATAGCTATTCTTCACGAAATTACCATAATTAAGGAGGGGCGGTAGAAAAAAATTGAAGCAGGGTTGATCGTCGATCGGACCAAGTGTTAACCCTCTATCGGCCGAATTTTGTTTCGTGATTACAGCAAAATTTGCAGTTTATAGCATAGTTTTAATTTCATTGAAACAAACGTATTTTGTAACTTTGAAGTTACAACGACGTTGAACGCAAACGCCTGTGTACAAAAGTTTAAGTTGATTAATTATTTAATGTCGTTCGTCGTACATTGATGTGTAACTTCAAAGTCATACGAGCCTATAGACGGTTAACGCGCTGTCCGAATTTTCATTGGACGTCGCACAGTTTCGCGGACGAATCGTGTGTAATCGGTGCACACGGTACAGCGGAGTCGTAAATTCAGCGGGACGCGGTGGAGTGGCCGGGACACGAAGAAAGGGAGGAACATTCAAACAAACAGGTGCAGCTTTTCTTTCTTTTTCCGTGTTAAGTGGCGTCAACCGGCGTGTTCGCTCGCCGAGACAAGGGTTTCAAATTTCATAGCACTCGGCCGTGTCTCGAGGAGTTCGTTACATCTTCCCGCCGCCTACGCGTGCTTTGCATAACGATGCACGGTATATTGTCAACCGGAGTCCCCGGTCTTTTGTAACAATTAACGATTGGTTACGGCTATTTGACCGGCCCATTACGTTCTGAAAATAGATTCCCGGCCACATACATCATCGCCTCTCGCAGCCGCCTCTGGCTAACGTCTTACTACTCGTTCTCGCTACTGTTTTCACTTGTCCCTTGCCAACTGACAAATCTCCTGAGACAAATACTACGTAGCCACCGATTTTCACTCTTTGCACTGGAACATTTTTTTTTTTGTATACATAGTGTAATGAAATATTAACCCTTTGCACTCGAGAGGTGACTTTCACCGCTTGATTTGATGCAGGGAAACTATGAAGGTGAATATTTAGTACCTTGAATTAAACTTTGCATTGCTGTGTGAAATATTTAAATAAAAGCTTCGTTGCTTAATTTATCTTGAATTATTAAGAAGGGTTAATCGGACAATTGACTGTATTAACACCTTGGCCTATGATTTCTCTCTCGATTTTCATCGGTACGGCTACTTTGTCATTAATAATTTATTGGAAATATGGTCTCTTTCTCAACTTTCATCGATACGGCCACTTTGTCGTTAATAATTTATTGGGAAAAGAGAAAAATTCTAAACATATGTTATGCCTATATTTCCATTTGTATAATAATTGATTACAGAGGAATAATACTTGTTTTGAATTCCAAATAACTAATATATATATTTGTTGAATCATGAAAATCTTCACGAGTCTCACTCTTTGTGGAACAAAGGGTTAAGCAGAAATAATAGAACTAATGGATAGAACTATTTTATCTCAATATTTCATGTGTAATTATACTACATCAAATTTCATATTCAATATCGAGCTTTATAATTTTAGTATCAAATTTTTCTATTAAATCTTCGCGTATACAATAAAACAAATGTTCCAGTATACGATAAACATTGTACCTTCCTAAATATTCTCGAACGATTAAAGTGCAAACCGGTGCAAATAAAAAATCGTAAAGAGCACTTCGAAAAAATCGCTAAATTCGAATAAATCCTTCGAACCGCAATTCGCGCGAACTCTTCGTAGAAACTGGTCCTAGATTACGAATGCATCTGCGTTTGTATTAACGAGTACACGCCTGACTTTCCGATGCCGCGTATCGCATTTCTATTCACATCGTTAACATTCGGCCGGGCACGTTCGCTCGCAACGCTACGTACACGGGTATTTATTAACCGCGTCGATAATTATTTGCGTTCGCTAATTAAACGGTGAAATGGATAATCTTTCTATTGAGCTTAAACCCGGCAAAAGCGTATTATTAACAATCTCTTTATTCCTCGGGATATATTGAATACTTTACGGCGGAGAATTATTAAAATATTATTGAGGTAATTAGATTGTGCGCTGTAATTGGTCATGTCGGAATACCGGAGCAATCAAGGGTGTATTAAAATTTTATAACGAACAATGATGTATTGAATATTGAACGGACCGTCTTCCACGGCGTGTTTCTGAGTGCGTTTTACACTACGTAAATCACATATACGATTCTTTGTATGTAAATTCGCAAAGTAACGAGTCCGTACCATCCGTAATATCAATTAAGGGAGGAATAATTAATTAAGCGCATTACGTAGAAATAAATAATTATATTAGCCACATTATTTCACCGCGCGCTACAATATTCATTAATTACGCGGCTATGCAAATGTTTTTCTCTCAAATTTTTTTACGTTCCTTTCATGCAAATTCTCCTTCAGCTGCACATTTCGGCGACACCCTATGTGGAAATTTTATTTCTCCAATTAACAATAAATATATTAATCGTCCACGGTAAACGGAGTACAAAATTCTACATAATTACTGTCCTCCGTCTAGAACTTTTTCTGAAAGAAAACCCAACTTCCCGGTCAGCCGGGAACTAATTTAACCGTTTCGAACGGTTCTAAAAGATTCACGCGGAAAAGGTGATCCAAGCACCGGCACGGAAATGCGGACAAATCGATGGAACTCTTGATAATTGGTAGAAGTTGAACGGTAACCGTACAACAATGAACTTCCTACCGTAACACGCCGGCGAACACGTTAGAACCGTCAGCTAATTTCCCATCGCAATCGTACGTCCGTTATCGCGTTGAAAAAAAGAAGAAAAAGAAGCCATAAACAAAAGGGAGGCGAACTGGTGAAGACTCAAAGGAGAATGATCGCGATACACATTCCGGTGGTTCGTCGGGTTAGGGCTTTTTCCCCGTCCCCTTGAATGGGAACTCATTACCGAAGCTAATTTCCTTCCTGTGTATCCCGTAAACGGCGGCGCCGCTCGAGACACCGTCCGCGCGAAATAAAGAAATCGAATTGATCCGTTGCACCGTTTTTTTTTGCAGGGCCGTGGTGACAGCAGTATCCTGGCATCCTCAAGGCACCTATCTCGCATCGGTGGACAGGGCAAAAACGGTGACGGTCTGGGGCGATCACGTTTGATAGGACGAATCGTCCCGAAACAGACGATTGTTTCACGCACGAAGGTCGACGCGTTCTTCTGTGCCGAGGCGGACGTTTATAACACGGCGTACGAGGGAGCGAGAGACTGCGAGGAGCGAAGAGAGAGGGAGGAGCGTACGTGTACAAAAAGAACGCGAGGAAGGGGGGGACGCGTGTACGCGCCCCGTTGGCACCACAAAGGACACACCAGTGCAGGATAATGAAAATCAGCGGCCGGGGTCGGGGGCGCGCGGGCTGTAAAAGATACCATTTCGAGGCCGCGGGAAGCGAAACCGCCGCGACGAACAGATTCAAACGCGGCGGGAGCTATTGTACATAAAACTGCACTGATTGTTTCCCCAAGGTTGTAAAGATTTCTCTCCCGTAGGGTAACGCTCGCTCGCGCGCACCGACGACCGCCGGCCGCGGAACCGAACAAATCATCGTAGTCGCTCTTTTCGGAGATTCCGCTAGGTACGCTCGTTCTAATCGTAAGAGACTGTCCCCGCGATTCAATCGTCTGTGCCGGCAGACTCGATCCTCCCCGTCGATGGAGAAAGTATCAAGCTGTTTTTCTTTCTTTTGTTTACTATTCCATTTCGTTCGTCTTTCCCGACGGACCGACGTCTCTGAGAGATATTAACCCCTTCCGCTCGCGCGGCTGTCAGCGCGTTCGGCGCTTGATCATAATGTTTACCGCCGAACGTCTCGTATAATCTGGGTAATGGGATCTAATGAGATAACTCCGACGGTGGATTCGCGTGTAATTTCTCTGGACGTTGAGTACGAGAAACGTTGGCGATGTTTCGTCGGGAAACGATGGATATTTATTGGTAGTGGGGAATCTTGGAGCTGAAAGGGCTAGCCCTCCTGTACTGTTCAAATAATCGCTGGAGTCAATCGTTGATCTTAACTCTCTAGGCCCGTGTGACCTTGACGTCACGTGTCAGTATATTGGCGTCTTTTTGATTTATTTCATTTTGCACTCGTTTATAATATATTTGTTTGATGAAATTATTGAAACTATCGAATACATTGTTAATTTGTGTTCATATGTGGATATTTATTAATTCTGTACTGCATAGATTTTGCTACAATCATGAACAAAAATTCGGCCCATTGAAGTGACCAGTTAACTTCAACTTTTATACGCTCAGGCGTGAAAGTCTGTCATTGTAACTTGAAAGTTATAATATATTTGTTTGATGAAATTATTGAAACTATCGAATACATTCTTAATTCGTACTCATATGTGGATATTTATTAATTTTCTACTGCACAGATTTTGTTACAATCATGAACAAAAATTCGGCCCATAGAGGGTTAAGGTGAGATCACACCGTTGGACATTTTGTATACGAGATGTTTTTTTCGAATGCAGAGCCTTTACATTATGGTAACGAGAGAAGAATCGTTATTCTTAATAAAGAATTTTCTATAGAACGAACGACGGTGCTCAGATACGGGAGACTATGGAAAATCTTCTCGTGGAACCAATCTGTAACACGCGCAGCTTGTTGATGTTTATATATTTATATCTTGGAAAGTGTATTTATGAATGAAGCTTTGAATTTAGGCTTCGATTTTAGGTATCGAACCGATTTGAACAGTGTAAGAGGGATATTGAGAATATTCGTGGTTCTTTACTCGTTCGAAAAAGCTTTTCTCGTCTGTAACAGAATTTACATTGATAATCAAATAACGATCGCGCACAATACCGTTCGTAATTTCGGTAGAATAATTTTCAAACGTTTCAGCGTGAGAACGAACTCGCAGATTTTGTTTGTACGGTAACTAAAGCAACCACGATGTCGAGTTTACTCGTTCGCAGTAAGTTTGATATTGAATGGAAGAGGATGTACTCGTTAAACGATTAGCCACAATAAAGTGATAACGATATCGATATCGATTTCAATTAAACCGCATCGCGCAAGGTTTATTTGATCGAATCTGTGTAACTGAGTTACGCGTTACATCGCGCCGAACGTCGGTTTTGCTCCGGTAAAATTCTACGATCGACTCGTCGCGTAGAATGTTTTAGGCAATATTCAGTGGGCTCTACACTGCCAGTGATTGTTAATAACACCGAGTCAGTTGATTCGTACGAAATTTCAACGGATTCGAAATTCTAAAGGAAAGTTGGTCAAAGTTGATACATTTCCTCCTCAACGAGATTCGTTTTCGATAAATGAGGTCTAAAGTGTTTGAAATCATCGAACAAGTGAATATTAACCCTTTGCACAAGTTTGTCACTAGAAATATTCAATATCCTTCGATGAGATATACACGAAGTTCTTTCAAACTAATTAAAGAGGAAACATATGTAAATTAACCCTCAAATTTCATATCGCTAGTGGAAAAAGCGGTACCTTCTTTGTTATTATTATTATTATATTTATTTAACCCTCTGTAGACCCATGTAACTTTGAAGCCACATATCAGTATATTGGCATCTTGTTGATTTATTTCATTTTGCACTCAAAGTGGTGAATAAAATTAAGTAATCAGTTAACTTAAAATTTCATACACTCATGCGTGAAAGTTTAACGTCATTGTAACTTGGCAGTTACAAAATATATTCGTTTGATGAAATTATTGAAACTATTGAATACATGGTTAATTTGTGTTCATTTATGGATATTTATTAATTTTTTACTGCATAGATTTTGTTATGATCCTGAACAAAAATTCGGCCCATAGAGGGTTAATATTGTATATAAGACTTCACAATTCTGCAAATCAAATCAAGTGATGACTATCACCTCGCAAAGGGTTAAATATGTAATATTCTCAGAAATTTCTCACATGCAGTAAAAGTTACAAATGACACACCCTCTTTCCGGTAGACTGACAAACACGTCGGAAAAGCGGAGATTTTCCCAACGCGAGTGCTCGTCAGTGCACTTAGAGCGAATTCGACTTTCTCCCGCACTTTCTTTCAGTTTCTATGTTTCCGCCGCGCCGGAATGTATGCTCCTGCGAAAGTCATAAACTTAATAGTCGGCATACGAAACTGGGTGAACGCAATAAACATCCGCGGCGCTCAGACGACCGTGAAAAATGCATTCAACTTTCTTTAATGCCGTAAAGGCATCGCAATAACCTTGATTTCAATCTGGACTCCGATAAATCGCGACGCAACCGTTTTCGGCAGTGATCCATCAATGAAATCTCGTTTCATCGTTCTCGTATACAGGGTGGGGCAATTAGTATTAGCGCCACAGATGTCTTCGAAATTATAAGTTTCACAGAAATATTTGCTGAAATAAAATTGTACAGTACGAACATCCGGTGGCCATAATAGTTTTTTTGCAGGTGGAGGTACTTCGTACATTTGAAGGTCACCTACATTTTTTTCGAAAAAGAATTTTTTTTTTGAGGATCTTAAAACAGATTCAACGACCTATAAGGTCATTGAAGGTCACAGAAAGTGGAGAAAGGCGATAATACGGTTTTGGTAAATGAAACATACGTTTATAGTAGGTGGTCGAAATGATGACCGTCACTGTCAGTGCAACATTGGAATTTTTTTACGATTGACTGACTTGCACGTCTTACGGCGTCAGAACTTATTGACGCACAGGCTGCAATAATTCGCTGTTGATGACTATGATGATGAAGACTATGACCTTCAACGACCTTATGTAATAGGTCGTTGAATTCGTTAAGAATTCATTAAGATCCTCTATCATGATACGGAAGCAAAAACGTACCGATCCATTGAAAAAATGGAGGTGACCTTCAAATGTACGAAGTACCTCCACCTGCAAAAAAACTATTATAGCCAATGGATGATCAATTGCAATTTTATTTCAGCAAATATTTCTGTGTAACTTATAATTTCGAAGATATCTGAGGTGCTAAGAGTCATCGCCCCATCCTGTATACTGCAATTTATTCGGGCTAGCGACATTTCGTTTCTGGGACGAAAAGTATGCTGGAAATTTTGTCCTCGAATATCTCAAAAATTTTAGATAATTCATGTCTTTTTGAAGAATAATTTCTGAAAGTCACCTGAATCAATGTTTTTTATAATACTCTTCCTACCTCTACCTAACCAACATTTCGTCACAAATTTTGTCCTTGAATATCTCAAAAATTTGAGATAATTCATGCATTTTTGAAGAATAATTTCCGAAAGTCACCTGAACCTATATTTGATGGGAAAATGAGTTTCGTTGTAATACTCTTTACTACCTCTTATTTAGGATCACACAGGCTTTGCCCAATTTTCCTGCTTCGCAAACAAAAATTCGAGATCGGTGCGTCCAGAATGGACATCCATGGGAAACCCGATCTTCGAGCGCACACTGTGCCGGTTTGAAATTTTGTACGCGTCGCTGTCTCGTGTTCGCCGATGAATCCAGTAAATTCGAATGGCGGTGCATTGGGTTCCGTGGTTTCCGCTGAGCATTATAATGGAATACTCTTTTCAGTGTACCTTTTACGTGTTACTCGCGCTTCGTTAGTTTACGCACTTCGACCTCGAGCAGGCGGTCGACGCCGTACAGCACAATAATAAACGATCGACTGCTGTCTCAACGTAGGGAGGTAAGAGCGAAAGGGTTCTAAACGTAACTAGAATACGCGAGATACGCCGATTTGTATTGCTTTTCATATTTTTGATACGTACTTTTGTTAATTCGGATACTTTGCATGCGCACGCGACACTGGTGTACAATTGTGATCGTCGAGGATGGATGTGTTGTTCGGATCGTTCGACCGGCAAACTCTTGTCCCCGTGATGTTCGACGACGAGTAATTTTATAAGCTGTATGAATACTGAAGGGACGCGTCGATTACCGAGTTATAAACTAAATAATGGTAACGGTGTACGCGTCCGTGTCGTTACGAGTAATATTCGTTAGTCGTACAGATAACGCCGTAAATACTGATATTTTTAACGTGTAAGTTTTATAAGTTCGATGTGCTATTTGTACTTGAAGGCAGGATTAAAACCGATACGGATTTCCTAAGTTCGCCGATCCTTGTGATTGAATCCACGACCGTTCCGTATGATTTCGCGCGTCCGTCGCGTTTCCACGGTTTCGTCGGTCTTCATATTCTTTTCCTCCCGCACACACGATGCACGTTATGATTATTTCCGGCGTAAATGTCGCCGAACGATACGGCGATTCTGTGAAGGATTCTTTTTCTCTGACCAATTTACGCGATTACTTTGTTATTGTGCACACGTCGCAATCATGAAGTTACATCTTTATTATATCCCCAATCTATGTTAATTTCAAAAGAAACTTTGTATACACTGTTCGTATATGTAAATATATATTAAAGATTTCCTTCTTGTATTTTTTAAATTACTGTGTACTGTTAATTACTCCGAACACCTCGACCATCCCATACATCTATGCACTATGTGCAGGTCACCGAAATCATTTTTTGATGAAATGTAAGTATTCGTGCGTCGATATACACGAGAATTATATCGAACTAAAGATATTGTTTAGGAATTTCCATGTTTTTTATTAGTTCCAGAGAAAAAGGTTTGACATTTAACAGTAGTTAAATAAACCGTATTTAAACCATATTTTAAAAATTTTAATTTCAAATGTTAACACATTGTGTACGGTTTAATTCTTAGAAACCTGGGACGTAAAATATTCAAATATCTTATCGTATTATTCGATCAACTTTTCCATAGCTTTAAAACAATCGGTTCTAATGGAATATTTCTCTTAATGACGTGGTAATTAGCAAAGCTAAGAAAGATATTTTTTTAAAAACAAGATTCCTCGTTTCCGGTAAGTGTAAACCGTGTAAAGAATAAAATATCACGAGAGTCGAGGAATAAAGAATTTTAATTGCCTAATCTTCCGTGTTCCAATTATTTCAGCAGCTCTCGCTTCGACAGAAATATCAGATATATACTTGTGGAAAGGTTCTATGCATGTTTCTCATTTTTCTGCCATCCTTTTGCAACCCGGTACTGTCGCGGCAGGGGAAAAAAGTTTCTTTGTTGCGGCCGAAGGACACGCTTCCACAGAACAGGCTGTTATTCGAAGATTTTTCTGGACAACTCGCAAAGATCTGAGAACGCCGCAACCGTCTCTCGGAAAAAATCCCG